CTAGATACGGGACATTCTGTGGCCCCCAAAATTTCCTTTCGAGTACTTGATCGGGCACGAACAACTCGTACTTTGCGTTCCTTGAACGCAGCCAATTTACAGCGGTTTAAGCCGGATGTATGCAAACAGTTCGAGCATGTGCTTAACCTAACTTTGTCCTGATAACATCCACTCCCTGATTTACAGGTTCCCATGTCTATTTTTTTGCCTTAAACGTTTTTCCCTTGCTTTTGCTTCCCACTGTGCTTTAGCTTGCTTACGTTATTGATTAGCTTTCGTGGCCATCTTCTACGACTTTAATGTTTGCATCAATTTTTTTCTGTACGAAATACGTACGTTTTCATGTTATGCAGCAAGGGGCCGCAGCTGAAGGGCCCTCGTAAAATTTATGGTTCCATTAAATTCTGCTGTTTGTGCAATACAGAATTATTATACTGCTAATTGGCGCATTAACAGACGTCAGTAACTTACTGTGTGGCTCGCACACCTGAGTAAGGAGGTATAGTTACGGCATGCAATTAAACTCGGCTGGGACGCGTTGCCCAGGCAATATTAGAGCGTTGGTCGTACTGAAGCTTTTTTTCCTTGGATTCGAATTTCAACAAGACCGCCGATTTTTTTCACAGTTGGGTCAAACTGAACATGGACCAATCAAAAAGCGCCAGCAGTAAAATCCCGGGGGCGGCCGTTTTTTGATAAATTGCCACCTGTCGCCGGTGCACCAATCTCAGTCCGTTTCGTCCTGACGCATGCCGCTTAATAATTCCTGTTCGCTGATACCGGTGACGAAGTGTTTGGATTGGAGCACCAAATAATCAGCACACAGTATCACGTGGTTCAAGACATGGCAGCAACCGACAGAGAAGGCGCCATTGGTGGGGTCGGTTGCCAAATCTTAAAGCTCAACCAAAAGGCAACCGGCGGTCATATCTGCCGTCCGTCTGGCCTGTCGTGGCCAGAAATTTCATTCAAGCTTCTTTTTTCTTCTTTGCCCGATCTTACTTCGCGGTTGCTGCCTTCTCTTCGCTTTTTAACCCTCTCAGTGGGTGCCAGCTTGGAGTTCCGAGCCAAGCAGGAACCTAATATTTTCTGTTTTGCAAGCAAGATTGTTTAGCACACATACACCGCTATCACGTTACTTCGAGGGGTCTAAGCTGTGGGTGTGCTCAGAACACTACAATTATCACGCCCAGTTCCGCATAGGAAGGAAAGGGATAAGACTTGTACGAGTTGCTTAGTGTAAACAGAAAATCAGGGGTAGTCTGAAGCCCCGACGCGCGGCAGGCTCGGGCCCTGCACGCGCATCTGTCTGCTAGCGTGCTTTGGGCATGAACGCGTAAAATTCATGCGAGAGTGACTCACTGGCCGCTTGATCAACTGCTTAGCCAATAGTAGTCTGCAGCGTCTGTGATTGGCTGTCCCAGGGACAGATGGGGTAGTGCAATCACGTGAGGCCTTACGAGTTCGGCGCCGGTATTGGACGGCGTTACAGCTCAGCAGTCGTTACATGAGGTCCTGTGTGAGTTA